TACCTGCTTACTTCAAAAGTTTTTAAGTCATTAATATAAAAACAAAGAAAGCAGACCAACTTAAGTTTACCAACTTCACTAAAAGCCTTAAATTATTTAGTAAGACATCCGGTGTTCTATTTAAAAACTTTAACTTGTATATAACGATAAAAATGTATCAAAGCAAGTTGAGCGTTAAGATAAATATGAGATGATTTGAAATATAATTTTTGACTAAGCGACTCGGGTGGGTAGTTTTAGTACAAGAACTGAAAGTCAACCAACTATCAGTTAATTGTAATAGTACTAATATCGTATAATGTTTATTGAAATAGTTAAATAATAGTTATGTTTTATTTGCAAAAGCTATTCGTTGAATTGAATTTATAACTTAAGGGTTATTGTATGATACTCAGTTTTAATCTCGGAGTTTATTAGTTACTTTAAGATTTTGTGACTTAAAATCACGGTACATGGACTCAATGAAATAGTTTTTTTACGATTTTTGTCATATGATAAAGTGAACCAGAAAAGCTTTAACCCAGATTCCCCCTGTCGATAATTCTATTGAGTTAATATAATGTATATTTCATTAAAAGAGAATCGGACATGATTTTATACTTATTATTAGTGAAATAGTTTTATAAGTTTAAATTCTTCACTATGCATAAAGTTACATAATGTTATTTATGATGGTTTTTAAAAACCACTGATAAACTTAATACATTTAAAATGTCAAATGGTTTTGTTTTTCAGATATTGAGCTGCCGCCGTTTTTGTTACTTTTTTAAGAACATAAATACATCGATAGGAAATTCAGAAAACCAAGTCGTTAATTTCGAAAAATAAAGATTGTAAATAATGCTCTACTAAGGTTGTGTAACTCTATCTAGTGAAATATTGATATTTACATATTTTAATGGAATACTCGTTTAGTAGATGGCGTTATACGATACGTTACAAGCAATAAATAGTGATAGTTACATTATGACTCTTCGATATTGTTTTAAAATAATTATACGTCTTACACTCCCAACACCTTACCACGGATGGTATATAATATATATTATTTTTAACTGTGTCAATGGAAGAATTTTTTAGTACCAGTCGCCAGATCAATGACTAAATTAAATAAAAAAGTTAACACATATATAAAACAGATAAAAAAACACTTATACAGGCTAGTACCTTTAAAGTATTGAACGSAAATTTTAAATTACATCGATATTGAAAAAAAATCCGTTCTTTTGATGTGTACCTTAAAACAAATAGGTACTTAGATAATTTCCACTTTTTTCATCGTTATTAAAATTAATTATTCATAATTATTAATGTTAATACTCGAGTTTAAGTAGAATTTGAAAAAATGTGTAATTGATTTTTAAAAAAAAGTGGTTTTATTAAGCTCATTATATTTTTTCATCAAGAGAAAACTTTTTTTTTATGTAATTAATCTAAAAAGGATTTCCGTTTCGATTTTAAGCAAGTTTGAAGCACGTAAAATGAACTGAACAAACATTTACTCATTCTCTATCACGGACAAAATTAATTACAAATATTGGTTTAATACGTTTCGTTACACCTGACATAGTAAGAAGAGGACGGAGATGGAAGAATATGATATTGTATCAGGGAAGGGGAAGCGCGTGGTTACTCTTCATTAGCTTCACTAGTCAAATTGCTTATATACTTACCTCTTGATTCAATTATTATAAGAATCATGTGCACTCATCGACCATCGTCAGCTCTYAACCTAAAGTAAAAAAAAAAATACTACGAAAACATAAAAATCAATACAGTGTARAATATTCGTAACAATTGTACAATTTATTAAATTAAATGTAAATAATAAATTATTTTATTAAGTAAGTATTTATACAAAAAGGATTTTACTCGGTTCAATATAATAAAATATAATTTGTTTATTTGATTTATATTTTCTACCTTTTTTTTTATGATAAAAATAATGTTGTACACCTTTGACACAGATACGCAGTTCGTTCTTATATTGTTCTTAATTTTTTTCGATAACGTATATTTTGAGATAGGTACCTAAAATATTTATGATTTATCATATTTTATAATAATYATGAAAAGGACTCGCGTTTATAACAGAACCTGTTGTTCGTTAATGATTTATCTATTTATTATTTTTATTGAATGTTTTGAGCTGATCTCAAATCAGATTTTTTATTATTTCGCAATATTAGGCATTTCAAACAGAGTACAAAAAGTTACACAAGTCCGACTGCCAATACTGCCAATTATATTTATGATAATATGTTACATATTAGCAATATTATGCGTCCCGTGGGAATAGTGGGATAACAAAATACATAAAATACGATTTAAAATAATAAATAATTATTGTACAGTACAAATTTTATTAAACTTCAATATTATAAACCGTCGTAATCACATAATATTATAAACAGCGTATTTACGTAACAAAATCACACGACATTAACAATRAAACATTATCCAGGACCAATTCTTTTATATGTAATTATATATGATATAAATAGAACGGAAAAAAAATCACTTTCAGCATTACGTTATACAATAACTTTATAAAGTGGATACTGAAACAATAATTACATAATGATGACGAATTATCTATAGTTCAATTTATTTAAAATGCAATGATTAATAAGTAATAACTATAGCGACACACTAGGTATACACTATTACGCTTAAGTTATTATCATCATAAAGCTGGCGAGTTAAGTGCTTGCCAAGAGTTATTGTCATTCGACTACAAAATAATGCGAAATATAAACTTGCGGAGATGATACCGACATTATGTACATAGGTACCCTACCGATGTTAAACTAATAAATGAAATATTTAAATTCAAACCTTTAAAATCAGTCTAGAATGAACCGTGTCCAAAATCTTATATCACCTGTTGATTCGAACATACAATTTTTTATTAATATACAATTATTACACTTCCACCTATCTAGGGACCATTTATAATTTGTGTACACACTCTGCGCGCGTTCGTATATTTCCATAAAAATATCCTTTCAGCGTTTGTAAAAGTTAATTTTGGGATATTTGTCTTAACTTTATTTACTTCTAAAATTTTTAAATTTGAGTAACATTATATTTGCGATAAGAAAAATATTGCTATAAAATATTATCTAGGTATACAAAAAATAAATAATCCGCTAAATAAAATTGCACATAGGTACTTATATGTATGTAAGCAATGATAACAAAATAATTTAAATTACACATAAGGAACGAATTTCAAAATGAGTTTTCAATGTCCTTTTTTAAAAATACGAAAAAGGTCATCATTCTCTTAATAATTATTGATATAATGTTAATATTATGTAATTATTCAAATATAATGAAGGTGTTTCGATTTTTTCTAAATTTTCTAACAATAAAAATAGGCATAAGTTAGTTAAATCACCTATAGATATTATGATGATAGTGACATACTTATTAAATATTATCAATAATTTCATATATAATTACTGTTGTCATATTGTATGGATAACATACTACAATAATAATAATTTAGATGTAAATATTAATTTTAAAAATGCACATAATTAATAAAAGTATTAGTGATTATATATTTTCCTTATTATATAATATATTTGTATATCGGTAAACAATGTTAAATACATGCAATGCAACGACATAAATAATAAATTATACCTATCTATTTTTTTTCTTTTCATTGATAAATTCACTTAATAATTATTAGAATTTTTTAATAATTTGATTTTGATTTTCGTTCACATAAWATTAAGTTTTTGWTTAATAATGACCAACCAGAAACAAATTGTCTGAACTGCTGACATGAAACACCTAAAGAAGTAACGTTGTTGTTAAAAACCATAATAATAATTATTGAGTTTCAAAATAATTATCACAAAATAGCCACCAATAGTGTACAAAACGATTTCGGTTATGAAATATAGAAATGTTAGGTAGATATCAATATAATTTCAAGAACATTTTTTTTCTATTTTAATTTCAGTACTTGTGTTTTACTATTGAATTTTTCCAAATCTCATTAATTGTATTTGACCAAGTCTCTCGATAAACGGTTTTAATTTAATGACATACAGAAATACAGAATGTTCGAGAACTAAGTAATGACAAAAAAAAAATCATAACAATAATAAATAATGAACGAGAACTGTAAAATGCATGACGAAAAACATCATGATAATATTATGTGATCTGCTAAATCGCATTTAAATATTTTCATAGACTTATAGTTTTTTGTAAAGTATTACAAAATGCGTACATGTGATGTTGGTGGGTTTTTTGTTCACAGTTCATACGATACGTTTATGTGTCACGTTTTAGTAGTGTTATCGTTATTAAGTAGTTTAAAAAAAGAAAAGCGTATTGTACAATATATTAATATTGTTATTGTAGTTATTAAATATTGTATCGAATTCAACTATTACCGCAAGCATAAAAAAATTTTACAAATTACAGTAGGTAGGTAATATTATTAGTTAGATCACAGATTCAGCCAATGACACATATTAGTGCTATAATTAAATTATTTTATACAATTTTACGATATTTTTATTATAGGCAATAATATCGTTGTATGTAATAGGATAAAATCGAAACCAAGCAAATTCGTTGAAATAATAATATAATTTAAATATTATAAATTATAATAATATGAGAATATGACGYCAACGCAGGTCTATATTATCAAAGTAGATACCTAGTAGATATCCTATATCRATTAAACATAAAATTTTAATTTAAGGGACAACCATATTATTTAATTTAGACAACTACTCGCTACTGTATTCRTATACAAATAAAAAAATAATTTTATACAATAAAAAAGTCCAATTGTTTTCCGTTAATATATGGCATATACGTTTAAAGCATATATTATACTATTTTTGATTACAAAAACGATCGCCGCAAACATTCTTGTAATGCCGACGACCCAAACATATAATATGTCACTTTTCAATTATTTAAATAAATAAAAGAATATAATAGTAAACAAATAAATTAAAAAAATTAAATGAACACATCTTCAACAATAATAATAAGAATAAAATAATAATAAAATGTATTAATATAATATTATTACGAGCGGTAATTTTACACGGACGCCTCGTCGATGACCGTGATCATCCTGCTGTTGTTTCCGGCCACTAGCCGCCACTTGCCACCCTTGGGCGTCTCCTCTTCCGCTTGTTTGGCCAGTGACCACCTGCGGCCTTTCCGGTCCATGATGACCGGCATCTCGGCGATCAGGTTGTTCTCGAACTCGCTCAGCATCAGGTAGTTCTCCACCTTGTTGCATGACGTGATGCAGTCACCGATATAGTCGAGGTCGTCGAGCAGGTTGTCGGGCAGATCCATGTCGGCGATGCCCTCTTCGGAAATGCACGTCAGCTCGGGCTTGTCGTTGGGTCCGCCACCCCCGGCCCCACCACCACTGCCGCCACTACCACCACTTCCGCCACCGCCCATCATCAACCCCAAACCGCCAGTGCCGCCGATGAGTCCGACGCTCTGCATGTTTAGGGGTGGTTCCATCACCACCACTTCTTCAGGCTCGACGGTGAACGACAGCCTCCGGCGCTGTGGACACGAGTCCGACACGCACAGCTTCTTCGTGCCAGACTCGTTGTGCTTGTGCCGGGCAACGTTCCGCCGGTGCAGGTCGATGAAGAACATGGTCAGGCTGCCGAGCAACACGCACGCCGAGCTGAAGTAGTAACCCGACTTGGCGCCGTAACCGATGTTGATGTAACCTGTATGCGATAAAAAAAAAAATTAAAAAAATAGTTAGATGATAATATGATATAATATGATATCGTATAAAGAAAAACGAGAAAAACTCTTTCCGTTCCCACCCAGTTTTCGCTTTCGAGAGAAACCGCATTAAAAACGTATTTCTATAATGACGTAGTTAGGTACTATACGTAGAGGTTGTAATGACCATACGTTATAATAYTATGTAGTATATACGTTTGCCCGAGCCAAATGTTTGAGACGAAATTACCATATTATCGCGAAATTATACGTTTTTGTGCTGTGCGTTCCCGAATCTATGCGTTCAACCCAAACTCAGCTGTTGTGCGTTATTACGATATTACGACGGCTAACATTACACGTGGGTATATATTATTTGCATTATTATATTATATATATATATATATATGCGTGTATGTGTTCGTGTGTGATTATCGTCGTATATATAGACGCAGTGTGGAATATATTATTATAATAAATACGAGCAAGTGGGGCAACACGCGCGGTAACGTTGTGAACGGTGTTTKTGGRTTAGATTTACGCGTGTATTATACCAATAACCTAACGATATTATATCATATTGCACGTTGCTATGTTAATGCGTATGGGACGTATTTASTATGTCGTTAGGTGCCGAATGGTGGTACCTTTTCTTTTTTTCGAAAAACGCGACTTTGCCATCGTTAAATTTTATGACGCGTGGTCAAATATTATAACGAATGGCATTGGCTGCTCTCACGTAGAAATAATAATATCAGCAACAACAACAATGCGCAACCGCCAACCAGCGCGCYTTATTATCTCTGCGATCTTTGATTCTCTGCTATGCACTTCTATGCTACATCGTATGGAAAGAGGTATAAACCGGAATCGGAATTACGAATCAAAACACCGACACCGTAGATTCGCCTTCATAACCTAACCCCTCTGCTCCAGAGATATCTCTATAATCAAGTCGTGTTAATTGCCCGGATGAATTATAACGCTACTACTCGCAATTTTTGACTTGTTTGCATTTGTTCGGTTTCGTTCGACATAATATACAATTACACAGTGCGATCGGTGGTGTGGTAAAATAAAATTTATGTAATCTGTTAAAAAACATATTATTACGTATACCATGACTTACCGGATATGGGCACCCCTAGGGCGATCGGTATGGCCTGAGAGCACTGGACAAAGCCCCAGGTGCGGGCGAAATTCCGGGCCCGGACCCTCTCGTACGTATACATCTTGAGCGAGTAATGGTACCCGCCGCAGAACATTCCGTACACCCAGGCGAACATGACGTACCCCTGCCGGTCGCCTCGGACCGTGGTAAGCGCCAATATGGATACGCCGCACATGAACACGGACGCCTGGCACAGGTACTGCCTGGCGATCCGGCACTCCACCGAGTTCCGGACGACGATCAGCCCGAACGCCATGCACCCCACGGTCCACGCGAGTCCCATGTGCACCTGCAACGTCAGCGCCGAGTCACCGAGTCCGTCCTCTTCAGCCTGGTGAGCCTGAAAAATCGGTTTGCGTCAATACAATATTGTCAGTCGTCAGTAATTCTAGCCCGAGGATTTCGTTTTCTATGATGTATAAACATCATCACCCATCGTATTTGCAGGACGTAAGGATTTAGGCGACCCGTATCGTGTGCGCACGTCCGAACTCAAAACTCCCGTCCCCTATATATTATATATTCTATCCAATATCTATAGTATTTTATCGCATTTTTGTTGCTTTTGTTGCCAAAAGAAAAGAAAAAAAAACATTTGTAGCATTCGTGCCTACGCCAAATGGCACCTCTAAATTATATATATACATGTTACATGTATTGGTCAGTGTTCCACAACAGTCGTCTTTCGTTATAGCCGAAAACGTTTCGTTTCTAACGGATCGTTGAACTGATATCGAAACTATTTTAAATCTCTAACCAAATCATAATATTATAATCGACCTGCACACACACACACACACACATTATTTATGTACGTAATGAAGTTTTTATGTGGGCAATCTGAATATTTATAGGAGGCTGACCGGAGAAACTATCGGAGTCGTTGGGCCTTGGTCGAGGGGCGGTGCAGCCTGAGCAGATCCAGACAAGCTGTGTTGGTACAACGCGGGCGCAATAATATAATAATGTTTAGTATTATGAACTATATAATATTGTATAATTACGAATATAATACTCGAAAGCCGTGCAAACGTATAGAACGATGGGACACATACGACAATACGTCATAATAATATATTTTCTGGAGTCCATTAAAAACGAAACGATCGCGAAATACTTTACGAGATTTATATCATGTTTATCCTTTATACACTTATACAATATATTATTATATGCACTCGGTCGAGTGCTTTACTATACTACGCTTCGGTCGTTTATATTGCTCAGCTACCACAACTAGGACATGATACAATATATAAATACTACTACAGTACTACTACTGAACACACACATTATTATTGTACAGTATTCTATGCAGTCTCGGGGTTAATGTTTTTCGCCGCAGGAATTCATTGGTCCCGTTTAATAATACGATGGACATATATTATATATTAAATATTATTATTTTATCAAAATAATAAAATTAATGTTAAGTTAATCGTATTCATCGTCGTCGTATATCTGCAATCAAAGGTACCTATACGCCTCCGAGATATACAATTAAAACGTCCTTTCCCACCACATTGTGGAATACAGGAAGGGGAAAGGGCGTTTATAATTTTAACGATATCTGCCATAGCTACACGTCTGCGTTTATATAACATATATTATAATGTGTGTGTGTATATTATTATGAACTCGTTGAATTCCGGGTATTTCGCAATCAAAAATTATTTTATGTGTTCGAAATCCTCAGTCGTAAACCGAGCAAATAGCTTTAGCGTTGTAAAAGCCCATAAAACAACTGTACGACTAATCCTTTTTTATATTGGGTTGACGAACGAATGCGCATAAATCGTGTCCAGTCGTGCGGCGGTGGTGGCGGCGCGATGGGAAAACTTTACTTTTATCTTGTTTTTATCACTTAATTGCGCCTAAATCTAAAACTTCTATTGTTTTTAAGTGCTCGTCTCACTGGTAAAATTTGTTCTCGTTTCGGTTCATTTTGTAGTACTTGAAGACGGTATTTCAAACCATTTAACTATTTAAGTAATTTATTTAATTCCTTCAGTCAAATATTGTTTACTCGTGGTTTCAGGCCCATTATACTTAGATTCAATTTTAATTTATTAGACACTTCGTCAACGATCGAACCGTCTAAATCTTTTATTTTATACAATAGGTTTTTACATAATATCTATCATAATTATTGTTTATATTATTTTTATATATAAAATACTGTCAGTTTTATAGCGCTGCATAAGAATCTATAATAAAAAACTATTTATATGTTTAAGTAGGTACTATTAAAAATTATATTATATCATATATATATATATATTTATGAGAGTGACTGAACGATGTTATTGATGTTATACCTATTTAAATAAATTTATACTCATCTTTCACAAATAGAAAAAAAATAAATTAACATACGGCGAAAATTCAGTACCTACTTGAACAGTAACAACCGCTCATGCTTTGATAGTGGTACGTATTTTTTTATGAGATTAAACGAAATATGACAACAATTATTAGGAGGTCGTGAATTAAATTTGATCGTTTTGAAGACACGCGCGTCATGTATGAAAAATATATAATAATTGAATAAGCTAATGGAAGAACAAAATGTATAAAAAAAACCAGACTACTGTTGTATCACGCTGTTGTGATACGGAGTGCATGCATGCAATTGACAACTGCCATCACAGTCGAGTTGTCGTTCTTTAATGTCTTGTTAGTCGTATTTGGATATGTGGGTTATGTGTGTGGGTGGTCGCTCCAAAAATAAAACTCCAGAGTATAACCAATATGAAATATGATGACAATCGAAAAGCGTAACATTGAAAAATTAAATTTTATTCCGATCGCATTCGGCGTGTGTTTGGCAAAAGTTTATCAACTCCGGAAATAAATTGATCTCTTCCGTTTTTTCCGCAGCATTTCCACCGAATTTTCCAACGCCATCGTTGTCTCACCTCTTCCCATTTCAACGGCCGCGTAAGGGCGAAAACTCCATTCGCACATGAGATGACGCACGATACCACTATGCAAGTAGTATACCTACCATGGATATGGTATATAGTTATGTCTCTAGCAGTAGCTATTTTACAATCAGTGTTTAGAACTTATAGCGATTGTGTATTGAATGAACAGCACCGGCGGGAGGTTTTGCGGGGCCTGAGGTAGATTTTTTCACGAACCCTAGATATATTGTTAAGTATAGGCACGAACAATTTTTTGGCTCATCATATAGTACCTAACTAATCGTTTGAATTTTTTTTTCTATTTTATACAACTTACCTAAAAAAAAAATATTCATGGGAATTGATGTGCACATAACCAATAAAATTGTTTCAAGCGAATGATTTTGGACATTGCCGTCGCGCGTCGGTATTATAATTTTTTTTTACTCTCCCTCGTTTATTACAATATTATATTCCGATATCCAATTTTCAGATGATAGTAACATTCGTCGATCATTATCTTAAATTCTTTGATAAGTGTAGAAGGCAGGATTACACTTACGCAAGTTATCGTTCGACCGCGAACAAAAGGAGAAGAGCACGCGGGCCAACTACAAAAAACAAAAAAAACTTAATTAAAGCAACGCTAATATACTGCAGGTATCGGCACCGTGTGTGTTGTCAGAAAATTTTTTATCATACGAACGACGAATTTTGATAACACATTCGATTTGTGTGTCCAGATTGAGAACGCCGATCGTCAGGGTGTGTGTGAGCAGATTAACAAAAGTCGCATGGACGATCGGACGTTTCGAGGATAAAAACCTAAACGAGTTTGTTGACAAAAATGCGAATACGAAATCGATGCACGAAAAGGCTACGGCGAGTGGCGCGAAAAAGAAGAGCTAGCGCGAAGTTGGTAGCAAAAGAGAATAAGTGCGTTGCGCGACTGCAATGCTCGTACAGCGTACGTATGGTTGGCAAGTGGATCATTCCGTGCGATGAATGCTGGTTTGAGTGGATCGATTGAAATCCACACAGTAAATAGGTCGCGTTGCACCTTATTGAACGTCTTCTCCGTAAGGCGTAGTGCGTTGAATATAAAGTGCGTCTAACCGTACCGTGGTTCGTACACGGAGTGCATCGGAGCTGTATTGTGGAGTCTCGCAACGCAGCTACCAGCTCAGGAGGTCGTGGCTCAAGTTAAGCGGATTGAAAGCACTCGCCGAGATTCTGAGCGCGGTACCGTATACAAACTCAAAGCTTGTTCGATGTCCGCTTTTACTGTGTTGCGCGGCGCGAGTAGTACGATAGAAACATTGGCTGACCACTGCGGCCATTCGTGCGCATGCGATGAAAACGTTCTACCATTCCGTTGGCCTGAGGTGTATACGGCAATGTTCGAATGTGCTGAATGCCGAAGGTGATCAAAAGTGAATTAAACAGATCCTACTCGAACCCTCAGCGTTGGTCGGCGCGATAACGACGTCAGGCACGCCGAACCGTACTATCCAGTTTGTTGTCAAACGCTGCGCGACAACGTAGGCCGACATATTCTCGATTGGCCACGGCTCATGGCCATCGCGAGAATCGGTCGACGACGGTTAGTAGGTACTATTGTATCCGCTGGACGGTGGTAGCGGCCCAATCAAGTCAAAGTGAATGTGACCGAAGCGTTGCTCGGTGTGTTCGCAGGCTTCGGTTGTATCGCGTGATTGCCCGATTCATGTCCGGTCTGCAGCAATGCAGCAATTTGTTGAGACGAAGTATGGCGCGTTACCGTGTAATGAGTCGAAAACTGCGCGCGGAATAATCCGAATACAGCACGCCGCGCGCAATTCAGATAGGTGCGCGCCTGCAGCAGCGACAATAACGAACTTGTTGTGTTATCAGCGATAATACGCTGAAGCTGCGGATCGTTAGCTTGGTCGATTGCTCACTGCCGTCCGGTAGCGTTGTTGTCTCGGCGATTTCAAGTGTCGACAGCGCATCGTGGACAACATCGCCTAGCCTTAAATAATATGTTCGACGTGTGTATGAATTGTGACAGAAACGAAGTCTGTGTCATACCTGTCAGCCGATGATCTTCTCTGCCTTGAGTGTAAGCATAATGCAGGCGAAAATGTTTGTGTTCACGTGTTTGTGATCCATTCACAGTTTCGTGTAGGTAAATACGCGGCGAGAAGTATATACTCTGTCATACGTGCTGTACCTTTAATCGGCGGGAGATAACATTTTCGAGAAAAAACCTCGCTGCTGCCACTTAAGTTCGGTGAATCAAGAGAAAGCGTTTAATCTGCGGATGGCACTTGTGCTTTTAATTTGGAAACAAAATTTTAGGCTTACAAAGCTACAATAACTATAAAATGCGATGAACAACGCGGGGCCCTGGGCAGCTGCCTCTTCTGCCATGCCCTCCCATCGGCAATGTGAATAAAACATGGCACAGTAGCTGAGTATAACATACGAGTACATACGTTTTTAAGTTTTTACCTAGATACCTATAGATAACTACCTATACAAATAATTCAAATAGAAAGTTTTATTTTGACACCTTGGCGTTCAATAAGGAATTTCATGTTTTGTTCATACTTTAGCAACAATATAACTATTCTTTTAGTAAAGGCACCTACGTCCCACAATTGTTTTTAAATATATCAATATTTTAATATAACATAATATTATGATCAAGTCCCGAACCATGATTATTATGCGGTTTTATGATAAAATTTACTAAACATAACGTGCATCGAATAATACACGTATAGGTACGTGGTAATAATAAAAATAATAACGTCATAACCAATATTGGTATAAATTCATGCAATTATACGAAACTGACCAGGTAGAATATCGGAGTGTTTATGCCGAACGCGCTGATGCCGGTGGACACGAGCAGGATTCGGACGGTCTTGCTGCGGAGCGTGGTGAAGTCAAGGAACGGTGGCCGGTCGTCGTGACGGTTCTTGTCCTTGATCTTCCGCTTCTGGTTCTTCAGGTGCAGGATGGCCCGTCTCTGCGGGTGGTACAGCGACGCCGACCTGTAGCACGTGCCCAACAGGAAAGTGGTGAACACCGTGGCGGTGACCAGCTGGAGTCCAAGTCGCCAGCCAATCGCGCTGCAACACAATCGTACGTTATGAGTAMAGTGAAAATATTATAACAATATTAATGAACGAATATTGGCGMGGGACACGTCGATAAATTACCGATACGACCAGAGCCGAGGAAAGCTCGTTGAAAAATAATGGAAAACGCCGACGTGAAGTAGACCGTCGTCGTCAATCCCGTAGAACGGATTTTCATTTTTCAATTTAAATTCCTTACGGGGTTTTTTATGCTTGTTTTACGAAGTCTTAAAATATTTATGAAATTTTAAAATATACAACGACATCTTTATTTTGTTCAACAATAAATTCCTCAAAATATTAATTGTTCCGTTACTTACGTACTCTAAAATACAGTTTATAATAATTGTAAWAAATACTTGTAAAATTAAAAGTAAACTAATTATTATAAAGGTATTATAAATAGTAGCGATAATTAGTAAAAAAAATCATCAGTAACAATTATATATATATATAGGTAAGTTCAAAAATCTATGGCTATAATATTATTAAAAGTAAGAATTAAATTTCTCATAATTTTCTAAATAACCAGATTTCAGTTAATAGTCAAGTATTTTATAGATCTTTTTGCTCTTGATTTTTTGTTTATTCATTTATTATCATTACATTTTGAAGCCCTTATGTTATTCATACCGTACTACAGGACTATTATGCTATTCATAAACTGAATTTGTTCATCAAAAATGTCAGTTATACATTTTTATTTAAACTGTACGTAATATAAAATAGTGATTTTTTTTAATCATGTATGTTGACGCCGCAATGAAAAATATAACCACCAAAACACCGAGACCGAGACCGGTCATCTTTCTCTCTCTCTCGCACACACACACACATACAAACACACACACACACATTTTAAATTATTATTATAGTAGGTCGAATAATTGTTATCTGTTTTTGTGGTTTATTCTCGTTATAAGGTAAAATTTGTGATAGTTATTATATTTTGTAATGTGTATTATAGTCGAATATTAAAATCAGTCGTATAAAAACGCTCCTTAAGAACACGCCGTAGGATATCACCCCAGTGTTAGTATAATATAATTGTATATATACCTATGCAATTTTACTATATTAGAAGTATATCAATTAAAGTGTTATTAATCGTTATTTGAATTGTATTATATTGTATTGGCGTTAATCGTCAAATATATTACTACTTGCGTATATTGCGTTAGAGGTATTGATTTTACAATGATGTGTGCTTTCGAGATTTTTTTCTATCCGGATAACGGAGGAATAAAAAAATATCGAGAAAAGAACGTGGAAAACCGCAAAATATCGGTGAAAGAGCTTAAGCAAGTGCGGTTTTACATAAATCTTGACCATTTTTGGCTTGGCTCCGCACAGAACCGTTTTACGTGATTTATCACGACTTTTGAGTGTAGATAAAACCCAAAACTCCGGTATCAGCACTTTTTAAATAATATTGTTTGCCCGTCGTTATCTTCGTATAGGATTATTATTAATACCTACATTATTTTCAATAAATATATCATAATGAAAGATTTTGAATTAAAACTGCCAATTAATAATTTATTCTATAAGACAGCCGAAGAGGGAACTCATCCTAAAGACACGCGTCCGATGACTAATTATAACATGTCTTACAATAAGCTATTATATCATATTATTATTCAAAAAAACGCATTTCACAGTTTAACCATCCGGTTTCGACGATACAGAAATGTTTACCTGACAAAAATAAATTATTATTTGAAATATTGTTTTATTTGAAACTACACAAAGTATTTTGCGATGTTATGCCTATTAGACATTAATTTATGCTCAAAATAGTATTATAACATAATATCATAATAATACAACACACTGCACGCACGTCATCGATTTGTATAATTTATTTATTTTTTTTGTTATTTAATTATTTGATTGCTGTGATATATTTTTCAAATCTTATAACATATATTACGAAAGTAAAAAAGTATATGTACGATCGGACGTCGATCACAATTTTCTTATTAATTTTTATGATTTAAACTTTTTGTCGGAAACAAGATTTAAACCTTTGAAAAGTGTAGAGCATTTTGTATTATTTTTCCGTGCTTGGTATAAATTATTTTACCACATAAACTATGCTGAGATCATTAAATTGCCTGAAATTTTTTTATGAATTATACACATCGATGATATGTGTAATACTCACTAATACTGCATTGCTTTATATTATGTTACGTTGTAATACTAATTTGATCATAAAATTTCTAACATGCATAGCATCGTAATATTTTGTGTAGTTTTAAATAAAACAATTCATTGAATGTTTTATAGTAGCTTAAACTATTCATTTCTAGGACATATAAAGTTTCACTGGGAAATATTATGATCCTAGATCGTCGCTTGAAATTAATTTTCAGACTTCCAATAAATCATGGTTAGATTTCATGTTATCAGTTATATATATATATAGGGGGAAAAACTAATAACCCAAACTCGGCTTTCATTGAATTTTCATATAAAAATGCGGTAAACATGCCACTACGTGTTGCAATCGATCCCTCCCGGCGCCCGCCACCTATAAACTTGCAGACCCTCCTGTCTCCGTCTATAGTTTATACAATATCGTTGTTGGGGTGGATACTAATATTATATATTATATTACACAAAAATTGAAAAAATATCAACAAAAAATCACGAACATTATCATCACATACCTTATAGCTCCTTTGATGAAGCTCGACATGACAGCTATGCCCATCCCGCTGCCAGATACGATGAATATCTCGACGAACTCACGTTTTCGCTTAAAATACTGCGCCACCATCAGCGTGGAACAATCTCTGGTCATGCCCACTCCGATCCCTGAAACGGACATGAAACAAACAATCATTTTAAACACTTTTTTTATAACCATGTGATGGATTATATGATGGTCGCGATATGTATGTCAAGAGCGAAAAATTAAGAAACAAACAAAAAGAAAGTTCAATATGACTATGGATATCGTACTTTTTCTCATTCTGTTTAAAATTAAACATTATTTTTACGTATAATAATAAATATTACTAATCACAATAATAGAGAATTGATAGAGTTTTAAAACTGTTTTATTTCTATATTTTTCAAACCATTTACCAGAATTGCAAATGTTTTTAACCGTTTTCTAACATTTATTTGTCTCCGTCTTTCGCAAATATTTTGCTTACCTAACACTTTACCATGTCAAGTTTTTATTACATAATATAAAGAACACGGTTAAGAAAAAAAATGGTTTTAGTTTTTTTCAGCAGCGAGTAAAATTTATTTATTACTCTGTCTATGTGGTTATAATATAACAGCAAAACGGATGCAAAGGAAAAACTGAGAGGGATATATTATATATTATGTATACTTATACATACATATATTATATACATCATAGAAAGAAAGAGAGAGTGAGTGAGGAAGAGATTAAATGGATTGACAGAATAAAATAGTACGTCATATTGCGAATGGAAGACTCACTCGGTCGTACTTTAACGTGCCGCCGAAACGTGTGGCCGATGAGCTCCGTCGGTTTTTGAACGTCTGTTATTATTTACTACGTGCGTAAGTCACCCAGCGGCGCATTAAGGTTTCCTGTATGCGCCTACGCCGGCTTAATAACGACGTCTCCTAAAAGGGTTTTCGGTCTCTCATCGCTGCGCGCACGTGCTTGTTATTACACCGCATTAGACACCGTCGTCGTAGACGATCCATGCGCACAGGATCCCACGCGACGATAAAACGAACACATGTTGGAATAATATATTAATGATGTTGCGTAAAACCGAGAGATCGCAGAGGACGAAAAAATCGATGACAAACGGGTGCATTTAAGTATTACACGATTGATAATATGATATTATCGTTTGTCACAGGTGCAACGATACCCAGACATCACAAAGTGCACATTTTTTTTCAAAACATACAGATACGTACTATGGTTCAGAATAAACTGACTTATAAAAACAGATTTTGAACTCATAACTTTAGCAACGGTAACGTGACACCAGCACCAGCTCGTACAAAAAATTACTTCGAAATTTCAAATTTCTTCAAGTATAGTCAATAACCGATTCGTGACCATTTTTTTATTTTATATTATATTATCAATAAGTTTGACGGCCTTGTATGTCAGTAACACTTTATAATAATAATAATTTTAAAAAAAAAACTAACTATTTATTACCACATAATATTTGGAATTTATAACCTGAAAATGGTAACTAAACCATGGTAATTTCATCTTCAAAGATAATGGTTACTTTATAGTTGCAGCTATATAGAACAACAGTATAACGTGTTAAAAATGTTCATCACTTCGATCCTCCACAGTCATACAAAATTACAAGTATTACAGGACAAGAAGTTCGGTTGATCGTCACCATCAAAAAACAATTTTTTATTTATTTATATTTTAATACGCAAGTGTGATATTTTTGGTACGAAAAATAACACATATTTTTGGTCGGTTGTTATATCAAAAATATTGAATAGGCGCTATAAAACTTACTAATAAAAACCACGTTATTCAACACACAAGAGCAGGCTGGTGACGTAAGCATATAATTTGTTCACTGTTACATTAAGAGGTAGACATAAAAGTATAAATGAGAATATAATATTACTATTAAAAAAATATATGTATAAATAAACGTTTTATGTAATTGGACACTTAAAAAAATAATCATAAAATGGATTGCACCAGCACTACACTCTCTTATAGTGTACATCGTGAAACCATTAAGTTTATTTAAATTTACGAAAGTTTTAAAACACGGGGATCCATAAAAATTGTGGCAAATAACCCTACACATCATCCCTTTCATGTGGTTACGCAAGCCCAACGAAACCGTAAACGAAAAATTACGACTTCCGTAATGTAAAAATATATAAACCAGCTTCCACATGAAATTATTGTAAAACGACGCTGTCGTAAAAAAGTTCGAGGGTCCACTGCAAACATATGACATTGTTGAATTGTTTCAGAACTGTGTAAAAGCGGTGTTGGCAAAAGATTAACCAACGTGGTAGTTCTGTATACTTATGTAGGTGAAACTTTTATTGTACCACGTGTAAGGCCATTGTTCTTTTAACTTCAATGGCACCTTACAAATACGTTTACTAAACAACACACACGAAAACAATATGAGTTCACAATAAAAGTTCGTGTAGATCTGATAAGTGTTAAATGGTTGGTAAAATGGCTACGTGATGAAAGATAATTTTAAACAAAATATATAAAAATGTATTTTTAATACAATTTTAAAAGAATTTAAAATACAATAAATTAAATAAATTAACGAAATACCATAACATCAATGCCGATAATAATGTAGTGATACACAATAAGATATTTAAGTGTATGTAGACTATATCTAGGTTCTTTCTATCATTATATTAAAGCAGAATATTAATTTTTTTGTGTAATTAGAGATCAGTGGTTCTAAATATTTATTTCACAGTTAAACAAATACGAAAAACTCAAATTATATTACATTTTTGAACTTTTTTCGGYGACACTCCACACACTGTTTTGATAGCGTACACGATACACTGATGATTAMATAATATTTTACAATTTTATTATTGTAAAAATATTTTTATTTTTTTACAATAACGTTGTTTTGCAAAGAAAATTCATCTAATTATGGAGAAATAATATCTACAAAAAAGACAAAAGTTAAAGGATTTTTGAAATAAATAGTTAAAACACTCAAATGGATCAACTCGTATAGTTTAATATTATATGGTAACCCGGTGACGATGATGGTGATGGTGTTTGCATTTAAATGAAGCTATAAATTGATCTACTGCAGCACACAACTACTGCTATTAGCCTGAATATTAATAATAATATTAAATTAAAACCGTACGCCTTACCTGCTCTATATTATGGCTTCCTATAATATGTAATTCGCATTATTTATTTTTCAGTGCATTTGCGACTTATTAAATTTAATCATTGAATTCGGCCTTTATGTAATTTAGTAGTTAAACAAAAATTATACAGTTAGACACGCGTATCTTTATATTGGCACATTAATCGATAATTTAGGTATATTGATTTGGTATAGCTATACGTTCATGGTTTAAATTTATATAGTATTAATTAACCGGTCACCCTCATCACTAAACACTGCGATCCGTTTTCGTATTTATTCCGTGAAATTCTTCGGAATATTATTTAAAGTGATAGACTTGTTAAGAGGGATAGAGCAATACAAAAAGTAACCGGATCGAACGGTTCGGTGTGTATAGCTGTACGTTGTTTTTGAGATTATTTAAACATTATTATAATTTTATAGAACAAAACCATTTTCGAAATCAAATTCTACCAAGAACCAGGATCAACGTTGGTTATAATTTTTTTTCCTTTTAAATGAAACTTACTCACTAAGTTTTTTCCGACAAGATCATATTTCAACTTGAGCTTTAGGATATAAAATTAACAAGATCATTTTTATTAGCTTTCTCCGTTGTTTTAATTTTGTACTCGAATTAAGCGCATAATTAGCAAAAAGACTGCTACATATTAATCTTATGTGATTCAACATACAATTTCAAAATTGTTTTATGTTTTTTATTTTTTTTATTAAAAATTAAAATTGGACAACAATAACGGATATTGGAGATAATATCGGATAAAAGTGTATAGTTATAGCTCAAAATGAAACAAAATAGATTAAATTATTATTTTTAAATTTTTATAGTTTCTTCGGCAAACATACCCGACAATCCTAGGAAAAGACTAAAAAGGCGTCGGTGTCGAGACCTGCTAATTTAGTTAATTGCCTAATTTTAATTAAATATTACTTTATTGTTAACCTTTAGAAATGTATATAAAAGCTGACAAAGTGTCTTCACTGGAAGGCTTCTTAAATCTGTCCTTTCTTCAAGTCACTTTATTCACTTATCTATTTTAATTATTGTTCAATTTTATGTAACAGATTGTAAATAAAAGAAAAAAATTTTATAGTACCTAGATATTTCTGATATTAGACATTTCGACAACGGATTAATTAATGAAGATGGTTACAAGGGAGACTTTCCGCCCGTTCTCGCTGGAAATAATTCGACATTCAGCTAGTAAAATATTATGTTATTATAAAGTTAAATACTAAACACATCAACATTGAAACATGCACCTGTTATACAGGCAATATAATTTAGTCGTCGAATTTTTATATTTAGAGCGTATACACAATATTACCGAACGACATATTAAAGATTGTGTAAATACCTATATATTGAAATAAACTATGTATAATATCGATATACATTTAAAATAAACTTACGGGTAACTTTGATATTAATAATTGGATACTGGTATAGGTATATTGTATATTGCTTTTGTTTGATAATGGAATAATAATTGACTTGTATACATTATGTTGTGTATAGAGAACACAAAACTTTTATTTTGTTGGCTGGATATAGAATGCAATCAAAAATTTAACCATAGAACTGTACCATGTTTTGTGAACACCATGGTTGGCAAAAGTTCAAAATTTAAACTTTTTTCGTCGCCGGAGAAGTTTTTGATAGGTCAATTAAAACAGGATTTTTGTGCACTGTATTATTATCTTTTTCGCCCGAGTTCGAAAACAATTTACCACCCTTCGGTACTTTTTCCGAGAATTTAAATGGCTAAACATTATAATGCAGGTTTAACTTCACTAGGTATTTCATTAAATAATCATGTATATAGAACTGGTTATTAAAAAAAAGGTACCAACCTTTAGTTATAAGTTTAAATTTTAAAATCTGCTGTATAAGAATCCATTAATAAAAAACATCCTTTAATATTTATCTGGTTCTTTTAATAGACTTTCTCTACT